TTTAACTAACTAAAGTAACAGAAAAAAATGGCTATTTTAAACAATGATAGTTTTTAGTAATACCCTCTTTTCAATTCTCTATATAGATTAATAAAACATCATGGATCTACAAATTCAGGCTACAGTCATTCCACTGCCATAAATAAACCTCACTGTCTATAAGTAAAGCAATCTTTCTTATTTTCAGCCTATAAAATGCTTAAAAACATCATTCTGGGGGAAAAAAAATTAGCTTTGCTACATTAAGAGGCAAAGTATCATAAATTTTTAATGATGCAAATTCAGAAATAATTTGTAACTCAAAACAGTGCTTACTAGCTGATAATTATTAGCTTCTTTTATAAAATCCATCACAGATTAAAAGTTATTGTGTGCAAAATAATACAGTTTCACAGCAGAAGACTGTGATAAAGGTCCCCCAGTGGGACAGCGGTAATTTACAATGCTACAATCAGGGGATTGATTCCCCTCAGTGGACACAGCAGATAGCCTGATGTGGCTTTGCTATAATAAAACAAACTAACTAACTGTGATTCAGTAAAACAAGTATGATGAATAAAAAAAATCAAAATACAAAAACATGAAAAACAGTCTTTCTTAAGAACAGCTAAAAGAGTCGATGATGTTATATCTGATTTTCAGGAAAAGGGTCTCTTTTAATTAGAAAAAATGTTCCTCTGTAAAAACAATTCTGGTAATAAAGAGAGTTTCATATATAGAACTAAGAATGGAAGAGAGAAAATGTTATTACCTCCATATCTGAGGCTTCAGCCCCTACATGCTTTTGAATTCTACATACAGAACATTTATCCATTAAGCCATTAAAATATTTTTCTCAGATCTATCTTCCACATGTATTAACTTTCTAAAATTCTGAGCACATTTTGTCTGACACTGAGTCACAAAAATACCAGTTAACCCCATATTTCAAATTACTCTGATAGTTGCTAACTGTTTAAAATAAAAAGTTTATAAAAAGCCATTTCATTCTTCTTTCAAGCAGATAATGCACACAAATCAATGGAGTTTTCCTAATGTTAGATGGGATTGTTCCGTGCTTGTCATCTCATTTACTTCAAATGCATTAGGTAGATACTAGTGTATGTCCATGCTCCAAGCACAGATGCTCATAGTCCTTTCAGGTAACATCATCAACCCAGAATAATGATAGTAATCTGTGTTATTATTTAAACAACTCTATATACAATATGCTATCATTTTTAAACAACCCATTAATTATAACCTTTTGATTTTAATATTTATTGTAAATGAAATAAAATTTAAGGGCTCAAAAACAAACCTTATATTACTCCACAGAAAATTTGTATTTATAAATGTCCAATATTGTGAATGTCATCTTCTTTAGGGATGTAATTGATGTACATGTGGCTGACACATACATGTGTTTATCTCATGCATTTTAGGTAAATGATTTAAAATATGGAGTGTTAGGAAAACTCCAACGACCTCTGTGAATGTTTTCCCTGATGAAATCACTAGGTAAAATATTAAACAGTAATAAATGAAATATTCAATGTAACAGAGTAAGTTAGTTTATTGTGTCCTTTAAAAAAAAAGAGCTTGTAATGCCAGTCAGAACTACAATAGTTGAAAAATCCAAGAAATTACACAGAAGAAATTACTAGTGATGCTTGCTATCTTGTTACTTACAATTGCAGCCATTCTTAAGTTAAAAATAGATGGCCTAATAAGTTTTTAAAAATAAAAACCTTGTTGTTCAAACCTGAACTGAGTTGAACATTGCAGGCTGCTGTTGTTTTATTGTTTTCACCATGCGTACTTGTCCAATTATTTCCATCTAAAGCTTGGAAAATACAGGAAAGTTTTCCTATTTTTCCTCCAAATGCTCCATAAATTGAAACCTAAGGTGATGTAGCACAAATGTTTCATTCATCAAAAATAGCAACGTATATTTTAAAAAATTGGAACCTGATTTTAGTATTGAGTATTGTCAAAATTCACAAAAATATACTCATATTTTAAAATTTTCAATCAACTTCAATAAAAACTGTTATTTGATAAGCAACATTTAAATTGTGTTACATATCTTTTTAATTTAGCAAATTCACTTAGTGAATTAGTTTGTTACTAAAATGACAAATCTTTCAAAATGTACTGTAGTAGTTGTATACACACAAACACACACACATATATATTTATATTGTTCAATACTACTTCTAACTTGCAGTTACTGAAATACATTTCATTTCATTTTATTTGTATTTATAAGATCAAGCTTGCTAGTGTGCACAAGTTTTAAATAGTATTTTATCCCTCTACCTCACAGGTTAGCACAAACAGGTTGCAATAAACCAGAACACAAGATCCAGCAATATAGTTAAGTTTTTGAGACTGAGACTAAAAAATTATAACAAATGAATGTTCAGAAATAGCAAACAGCATTTAATTTACAAAGCACTAAGATTATATAACCAAAAAATATATAATAAAGTTGCTGTACATGTGTGAAACTTCTGATTAGTCCTACCTGACTTTAAGATCAACTAAAACCATAAGTAATTAGTATTTAAGTCAAAGAAAGAAAATTATTACTTGCAGAAGACAGAGGGTTATTTAAAATTTTTCATCTTTAAAAATATGGTATCATTTTCACAAAACATGAAAAACAAACAAGCAAAGATTAGCATGTCTGTTTTTTAACAACTGTTAAAAACAAGACTCCACAAAACTAGTTGGAAGTAATCTATCACTGAGCAAAGGTGGCCTAAAAACTGTTCCTTTCATCCTGTAATCTACCAACTAGAAGCCATATTATTGCTTTGACATCTCTGATTCCTGAAATTCACACACTATGGAGAAACAATATATAGAAATTGCTCTAATGGACACTGCAACCAGACAAATTATTGAGGAAACAATGTTGGTCACAGGTATTATATTCTCAAAAATGTAGTTATAAGTTAGTGAAAGTGGAGTATTGTTATCAGACTAAAAAACTGACCAAGGAGTACATAATCTTCATTTTAAAGCAACACTTAAACACTGATAATTTTCAAACAAGTTAAAAAAAACAAATACAGTGTCAGTTGCACAAAAAAAAACAAATTATACAGTAAAACAAGTTTAAACCATTTTTTGACAAAAGGGGGAAAAAATTTTAAATAAGTATAAATAGCTAAATTATATTCATGCAAAACTCAAAACACCATAACTTTCTAAGAAGAGTAAATTTCAATATACAAGATACTGTAGCTTATATTTAGAAACAATCATTTTTTTTCATATATGTTGATACACTACCATTGATAGGTGTACATACCTCAGTTTTCATCATTGCTGGAACTACAAGAGGACTGACTTCAATTAACTTGACACAAGTCTTTCCTTCACCATTGCACACTCCACACACATCCTCATCTGCTTTCCTACATTTAAAGTTAATCATTGTTTATTACTTCATTCACACTAAAGAGAATGTCACTATAATTAATTAAATATATTTCAATAAAAAATACAATTATCTGAATGTTTAAAAATAAACACAAATTTGACATTGTACAACATCCTATACAAAATTATTTAGTTGGCATCTTATAAAACATATTAAAGAATTTGAATTGCTAATATCTCACATGAAAGCTAACCCCTATACCTAGATTACAAGTTAAACTAAAACAAAACTATAATTTCTGATCTATTATAACTGCAAAAATTAATGGGTAGGTATAGAACATACATTAAATATGAAATACAATGAACAGTGTACAGACCCTTAAAACTGTACACACAAAAAATGTACATACATAAGTATTAAACTTAAAAGAGGGGCTTAATCTATTCAGGACTCAACTCTCATGTCTCAATCAGTAAAACACTGACCTTGAAACAATGTAGTAGGCCAATAGTCCCAAATTCAAGCCCAAACAATAGCAAATGTCTAAACATTGCTTTATTATGTAGCTTAAACAACAGTTTTATAAAAAATAAGTAACCTACCCATTACAATGACAAGGCCTTCCACTATGTATACAGTTTCCACAACCATCTAAAACATCTGTAATGAGCACGCCGGAAGTTCCACCAACACATTTCTGACATAAAAATTCTGCCATCAATTGATAGTTTCCTAAAATTTATAAAATGAAAATTATAACAAAAGAATTAAAATTATAAAAATATTGTTACATTATGATATTCTATAATCAGTGGAGTTTCAAAATAAGTCTTTAAAAATTGCTTCTAGTTTCAACACAGAGGAAGATGTTTTACTAAAAACTTAGCTAACTTAAAATATTTAACATATATGGTAATATCTTGTAGAACTATAAATGTACATTTCTTTACATTAAAATACTTTTTTTTCAAGCTTTCAACCCTATTACTGTAAAAAACACACATCAAAGCACAAGTAAAAAAATAATAAACTTAGTGTTAAGTGAAAACACATGACACCAAAAAACTAAAAACTGACTTAATCAAAACATATAAACAATACTAAAGTACAAGCTGTACAAAACAAAGCCTCTGGTCATCAAAAATTAATAAAACAAACATATGTAACAAAAGAAAGAAGATAAAAACATAAAACATAAGATAGAACTATCCTTGGACCATTTTATTTTAAAATAACTAGAAAAGTTTCACTTTCAACATAACTATTTTAAAATTATATATTATTCTGAAAATAACTTATCTTGCACTTCCAAATAATGTAATCTAATACATCATGAAGATACATAATAACATAACAATGTTTGGGACAACATGGGACATATTGGTCCATCTTGGCTGTTCCATCCTCTAAAGTAAATTAAAATAATTTTTAAAAAAATCTTAAAGCCAGTCCTCATCATTCATATACTTATCAAGCTTTTTTGTAAACTCACTTAAATTTACTGCTTTTACAACATCTGAAGGCAACCCCTTCCATAGGCCAACCACTCTGTTAGAAAAATAGAAGCTGAAGTGGACTCCTACCTTGCCAAAATATATATTTGTGTTCCCTAGTCTTACTATTCTCACTGTTAAATACGAAAAAAGATAATGCATCAACACTATCAATTCCTTTTACAATCTTAAACACCTCAATCAGATCCCCCCTAACTCTCCTTTTTTCAAAAGAAAACAATTTGAGAGATTTCAGCCTCTCCTCGTATAACAACCCCTCCATCCCAGGCACAATTCTAGTAACCCTTCACTGAACCCTTTCCAACAACTCAATGTCTTTCCTAAGGTAAGGAGCCCAAGAGTGAACACAATATTCCAAATGTGGCATAATCAATGACCTGGACAATAAAATTATAACCTCTTTAGACTTATTAAATATTTCTGTAGATACAACCTAAAATCATATTTGCCCTACCACTAGCCACAGCACACTGCTTAGATGGCTTTAGAGACTGATTGACTATTACACCAAGATCCCTTTCCTTCATAACAGTGTTAAGGTTATTCCCATCCAAATTACACTTATAATTCAAATTATGATAACCCACACGCATTATCTTGCATTTATTATAATTAAAACTATTAGCCCAACTCACTAAGTGATCTAAATTATCTTGTAAATCAGCAGCATCCTCGTTGCAGCTAGCAACACCCAAGATCCTAATATCATCTGCAAATTTAAGTAAGTTATTGACTATTCCTTCATCTATGTCACTGATGTAAATCAAAAAGAGCAAAGGTCCTAAGACTGGGCCCTGAGGTACCCCACTTGTGACACTAATCCAGTTTGACTGAACTCCATTTGTAACAACCCTCTGCTTTCTTCCATTCAGCCACTCTTCTATCCAATTTGCTAACTTATCCTCCACACCTATAGAGCTAATTTTTTTTACAAGCCTCTTATGTGGCACTTTGTCAAATGTTTCTGAAAATCCAGATACACCAAATCTGTACCCTTATCCTCATCTACATAAGCAGTATCCTTTTGAAAGAGTGTTGAAAGATTTGTAAGCAAGATTTTCCCTTAGTGAAACCATGTTGACTATCCAATAAAATTCTAAACTTTGTTAAATGACTTTAGAAAGCATCTTTTAACAGACTTTCCAAAATATTTCCCACAACTGATGCAAGACTAATAGATCTAAAATTACTGGGACAATTTTTATCACCTCCCTTGAAAAGAGGAGTTACGTTAGCTAACTTCCAATCCTCTGGTACTTGTCCACTATTCAAGGATTGACAAAAAATAGTAGTAAGTGGTTCACATATCCAATCTTTATCTTCCTTCAAAACCCTTGGGGAAATATTATTTGGCCCAAGAACCTTATTGTTTTTTTAAACTTTCCAATTTTTTTAACCAGCTCAGAATGAATGCAGTCATCTTTTTTTATCTCATTTCCATTTATCAACTGTTCAAGATGTTGAATACTGCTTAAACCTTCATTAGTAAAACTGAAGAAAAAAGCAAAATTTAATAACCCAGTCATCTCATAGTCATCAGGTACTAGCCTTCCCTTATCATTCCTCAATGGTCCTATCCCCATACTAACATTCGTTTACCCTTAATTTATTTAAAGAAATCCTTTATGTTAATCTTTATATTTTCAGCCAATCTTTTCTCATACATCCTAATTTCCTGTTTCACCAACTTTCTTAATCTTCTATAATCTTCTAAGTTTCCTGACATAGCAGTTAATTTAAATTTCTTAAATTTATGATGCTTTTCTTTAATTTATCTCTTAAACTCTTTGTGAGCCAACCTGGTTGTTCACTTGCAGCTACCCTTTTCTTTCTATTAGGAATATGTTTATATTGAA